GTCTGTTGTCCGACATTAAAATTTTACTTTAAACGACTTCTTCTTAATAACTGAAAGGCCTAGGTTATTTGGCCAGAAGCAAACTGGGATGAAGGGCTACAAAGTTTGTTGAAATTAATGACCTTCACCAATTTTCATGGTCACAGGGGTCAAATATGTTAAAAACTTTAAACATCTTCTCGATAACCAAACTGCCCAGGGTAATGATATTTGGCCAGTAGCATGCTTGGGTGAAGGGCTACCAAGTTTGTTTAAATGAATGACCTTCAATTTGGACAGTGAATATAAGTGAAGGTCATTCATTTGAGGAGAAAAAAAGGTAGCCATTCATGCATACATGTCACCGGCTAAATATCATCACCCTGGGCCTATTTGTTAGTATTCAGAAGTTGTTTGAAAGTTTTTAGTTATTCAGAAGAAGTTCTTTTTAAAAAAAGCAAAAAGTTGACGCCAGACGAACGCCGCACAATGGCATTTAAGCTCATTTCCCCCTTTGAGCCAGCGAGCTAAAAAGTAAACTAATCATTTCAATCTTTTAATTTCTTCTTATTTATTAATAAGCATTCCTGAAATTCTGTAATAATAATGAGCATCTGTATATTTAATGTGTTAATATGGTTCAGTTATGTTTTTTGTTCTATCCAGTTTTATTCTTTGTACTTTTTGTGCTACTTTTTTGTTGCACTCTTCAACACTTCAGCATCAGTCACATGAACAAGTAGACCTGTGCTGGTAGAGGAGAGATTTAAATCTAATCCAGTTTCCAATCTCAATCTTTGTATGTTTTGTCCTCCTTTTCCAATGATACCTCTATATATTCTATTATGAATGTCAACATCCTCATCTATTAACACTTTTTCTATGCAGTTTTTCATTCTTTTCACTTCTTGTGTTACTTTTTCTGTTGCACTCTTCAACACTTCAGCATCAGTCGCATGAACAAGTAGACCTGTGCTGGTAGAGTCGAGATCAAAATCTAATCCAGTTTCCAATTTCAGTCTTCGTATGTTTTGTCCTCCTTTTCCAATGATACCTCTATATATTATATTATGAATGTCAACATCCTCATCTATTAACACTTTTTCTATGCAGTTTCTTATTCTTTTCACTTCTTCTGTTACTTTTTCTGTTGCACTCTTTAACACTTCAGCATCGCCCCCAAGAACAAGAAGACTTAGATCTTGATTTGTTTTAGTATCAAGGTCAAAATCTAACCCAGTTTCCAATCGCAAATTTGTGATGTTCTTTCCACCTCTTCCGATGACAATTATACAAATGAGTCGATGGATATCAGCATCCGAATCTGTTAACACTCTAGCAGCGAGCTTTCCTTGCTCTACTGTCGCTACGGGTGTGGTAGAGAAGTAATTGAGTCTGCCGACAATCGCACAGACACGTGGTTTGCTTACTAGGCGCTGAATTCCTTTTCCGTCCCTTGTCAGAGAGGAACACGGACTTGATACTCTGAATTTGAATCCTAGGTCTTGGAACAAATATTTTGCATTGCTTATTGAACCGAAACTTGCGAGTCCAGAATTAAGAAGCCGGTAAGCTGATCGTGCTCTAACCAAACAGCCTGCCATTTTGTTTTTTGACGATGGGTACGAAATGACCGACAGGATTAATCATAAATCAATATCGCCTGCCAGTATCCTACATTGCCAGGGACAGCCCCGTTAGAGCGATATATGGACAGTCCGCTAACGGCGATGCATGTCTTTGCATCTGCTATTTTGTCACTGAAACAGTATCGTGTAGAGTCAGGAAGACAAACGAATAAAGACTAATATATATGACGAGAAAAAATATTAGATAATAAGTTAATAGATCTAGTGGTAAGCTAAAGGTATTGATAAGATTCTCCTGTTTTGTATCTGTTTAATAAATAAATTACATATTTTTAAGTCACCTGAGACAAAGCGATCGCCTTTTGTCCGGCGTCGTCCGTCGTGCTTCCGTAAACAATTTACATTTTCAACTTCTTCTCCAAAACCCCTGAACCAATTTCAATGAAATTTTGCAGAAACCTTCCACGGCCAAAGGTCAACCAAAATTGTGAATTATATGGTCCCCAGCCCCCAGGGGCATGCGGGGCGTGGCCAAAAAGGGTCAAAGTGACTGAAACTTCAAAAATCTGCTTCTCAAGATCTAGATATGGTTAAGTGTGGCAGGGTCAATTGTACATAGGGTTATAATAGGGTCGCCTTCTAGCTTCGAGCTAGGGGGAATTTCCCTTTAGCTCAGTGGTATAGCGTCCGACTAGGAACCTGGAGATTGAGGGTTCGATCCCCGGTGGAAGCACACTTTCTCTTGCCTGTTACAAATCGTGTCCGTGGCCCTCCCTGTAAGTGTTGTGACAGGGAGATAGAACCTGAGTTGTGGTGTTCGAGGGCAAACACATTTAAAAAGTGGGGAGTAGTGTGGCAGGGTTCAATTGTACATAGGATTAAGGTCGCCTTCTAGCTTTGAGCTAGAGGGAATTTCCCTAATTAGCTCAGTGGTAGAGCGTCTGACTAGGAACCTGGAGATCGAGGGGGAGTAGTGTGGTAGGTTTTAATTGTACATAGCATTAAGGTCGGCTTCGAGCTAGAGGGAATTTTCCTTTAGCTCAGTGGTAGAATGTCCGACTAGTAACCTGGAGATCGAACCCCCGTCTCGATCCCCTGTGGAAGCACAGTATTCTCTTTCCTGTTACAGTAGAATCAAATACTCTTCATAGATGGAAGGGTCTAAAGGTGCTTTACCTTGAGAAAAATTGTGAATTTCATGTCCCTGGGGTCTCACGTTTCCCCCTGGGGAGGGGGTAAACTTTACTCTAGTTTATATAGAGAAATCACATTTTTGACCAACATTTGTTTAATTTCGATTGGAAGTAATTCAATTTGTGTTAGCATTATCAGTATTGGATAGCAGTTTGTTGGTATGCACATATCAGCCCTGACTGGCCTCCAGGGGCTAGGGACGTAACAAACGGTTTTTCAATGTATAAGCCCAACGATGAAATGTGCTGCCGTAGGCAACACACCAAAGCGCGTAGCGCGAGGAGGGGGAGGGTATGGGAGGCAGGCGCGTATCTGGGCTTGCAGAAAATCGCAATGAAGGTGCGAATGCGAGCGCCGAAGGCGCGAAGACATTCTAGGGGGGTACGGGGGCATGCCCCCCAGAATTTTTTTTTAGATCTAGAAGCTCTGTTGTGCAATCTGGTGTCTTTTTGGATGTATTTTTGAGTGTTTTAATTTATTTTACAGACAACACTCTTGGTTGATTCATTCACTTTGTTATTGGAAAGCATCGCAAAAATTCAAATGTATTTCAAATGCGAAAGACATCTCTCCTTTTTTTCTCTCCGACAAAAATGTGACGATTGTTGGAATTCCTCGAAAATATCTGTTGCGTCATATCTCTTTCTTTAAATTGTCGGAGCCAATATGAACAGATTAATTTCAGATTTTTTGCTGTTGTGTCAACCAAACCCTTTTTATATCATCAACATTTCTCAGAACATAAGATGACGGTAGCTCCTATATCAATGTTTAGATATAGGTAAAGATCTACATATATATCCAGGAGCCCTACTGAAGGTAGACCTAGGACTACTCTTAAAAACATACTTTATAAGTTCATGACGGGGAAAAATGAATGTATCTAACTACGTGTATCTATGATGTGAAATTCTTAATAGAACTATATAATGTCACTATAGACTACTGTGCCTGTTATAATGCTGACTTTGTTAAACAGAGGTAGTCTGTGTGTTAAAGATTACAACCATACTTCAGTCTCGATCCCAAATCATATAGAAACACGAAAAATATGTAATATACATTTCCTGCATACAGGATTTATATGCATGACTTGTGTATTTGAAAAACGAGAAATTGTATGAAATTTTAAAAACTTAAAATCACTTAATTTTTTGGGAGAGCTTAATTTGCATTAGTTTCCAAGGAGACTAATACATAAATTTTGATATGTGAATATTCATTTTGTCGATAATTACTTTCATTGTTGAAATAGCATCATCTCCATCACAAATTCAAGTATTCACAAATTATACAAATCGTGTAAAAATATAGTGATCTATAGCACAAATAATAGACTTTCGATCATAACGAATTATTTCTGTACATTCTTTGGTCTGAAGACATGAACCAAGTTCATCTGTAGATTAAACGCTTCATTATCTTGGCTAAAAACGTGCCTCTATGAACCTGTTTTGGCCCTGAAACTAAGTTAAATGAGTATATAATCAGACAAGTTTCATTTTCAATAAGATTTCCAGTTGCATGTCTCCAACACAAAGTCGACACTTAATTTCAGTACATTTTAGTTGTACCCATCACCATTCTAAAAAAAAAAAAATTGTAAATAGTCCGTAAAATATCAAGTAGGAGGGTATTTATACTGGCTACCCAGGCTGCAAACGAAACCCCCTGATCAGATAACCAAAATTATAGATGTACAACTTTTTTGTTCCAAGTAAAATTTAACATAAAAGATGATTTGTACTGAAACATTAAAAATGTCAAAAGTTTCTAAAGGAGGCGATTATGTTCCACCCTTTCTACTCGAAATGACTCCTTTGTTCTGATCTCCATTCACATCCAACAAAGATGTATTCAAAAAACACATAGGTAACTATATAAGTAATAATTATATAAGTTGGTAAAAAAGGGAATTATCATGGCAGTATACAAATTTCCTGAAAAAGGGATATCACAAGATTTTGCATGACCTGGAGACACAAAAAGCTGGACAGTATTGTAATTTTGATGAAATATCAATTTAAATATCAGTCATACATTTAAACTCTACATCTATGAAATGTTATTTCAAATATCACAGTATCTACAAAATTGTAATGCTGATTGTACAGTTACATGTATATATAGAAACTCCAAATCTATGGAATGTTATTTTAATTATCACAGTATATATATATATATATAGACAAAATTGTAATGTTGATTTTCAACAGTTATATATAGAAACTCCAAATCTATGGAATGTTATTTTAATTATCACAGTACATGTATATATATCTATATACAAAATTGTATTGTTGATTGTCCAGAAGAGCTGTTTGTTAAATCTTGTTCATGGTAAATATCGTAAAATGCAACCAGGTTGAGTTATCCCGGATTAGAGTTACTTCCCTTTGTGATGTATTCACATTTCATTTTGATGCTTTGCATTCGTAATTCCTGGATATGACAGTGATAAAGTATTGAAACAGCAGTGGATCAGTCCCTAGTTTGATTCCTGGAAACTTAAATTTAGAACAAATTTCTGTATAATTCTTCACAAGATGTTATTCTTGTGGAATACATTTATAGAAATATAATTGTGTCAGTTTTCATTTTATTATAATTCAGCTTGATGTTACTCTTTATCTTAATGCAGAATAATCCCAACAGACACCTCAGTCCCCACCTATAAAATGAAATAAATGAAATCCTTATCAGTTACATATTTAAATTTCAAACCTGTGTAATCAACTTCCAGGATTGTACAAGATGAAGTTAGATGTACGATGATCCGGACAAAACGACAAACTTCAATTTTTAGGACACACCTTAAGGAATTTAACGATCTTCATGTAACTCACGTTAGATAACTCACGTTAGATAACTCACGTTAGATAACTCAAGTTAGATAACTCACGTTAAACTCACGTTAGATAACTCATGTTAGATAACTCACAGTCAATTTAAAAAATAAGATGTTCATCATTTAGTGATCTGTTGCTAATTCTACCGTGGTAACTTCAATGTTGGAGACAGTTTGTTGAAAGGTTCACAATTTCTTGAAATCTGACAAAGCTGTGATGGCAGCCAACCTTCCTGCGGATCCCATAACACCACCACCTACAACATGGAATCAATACATAGAAAGTTATTCTGGACAACTAAAACCAGAAACGAAGACAAATTGGAATGTCTGCCTTATGGATGCTGGCCATGGTCACATACAGATCTGGACTGGATCACTCACTAGCAACCAGGCTGCACAAGTGGTCAGAATGTTCATCAAAGACGTCAGAGGTCCTGGGTTTGAAACTTGGTCTGGATATTGTTATTTTACATCAGTAATGATTATCATTGTTGTGTTGATTTTAACAGAAATTACCTGAATGAGCCTCACTGATAGAGGCCCATTTTGCAGATGCTGATTTTTACCTATATTTTACCCTTCAAGTTTTTAATGACTTTTGCACAGCAAGCGGGGGATATCAATGACAGCGTCTTGTTATCTTTGTTATAAATTCATTGTAATAGACATTACCTGGATGAGTCCCACTTCCACATAGGTAGAGGCCCCCCACGGGAGAACTATCACATTTCTAAATTTGTTTAATGAAGGTGAAATGTATGATTCATTGTAACAGACATTACCTGGATGAGCCCCACTTCCACATAGGTAGAGGCCCCCCAGGGGAGAACTATCACATGTCTAAACTTGTTTAATGAAGGTGAAATGTATGATTCATTGTAAAAGACATTACCTGGATGAGCCCCACTTCCACATAGGTAGAGGCCCCTCACGGCGGAACTGTTTAATGAAGGTGAAATGTATGATTCATTGTAACAGACATTACCTGGATGAGCCCCACTACCACATAGGTAGAGGCCCTTCACGGGAGAACTGTTTAATGAAGGTGAAATGTATGATTCATTATAATAGACATTACCTGGATGAGCCCCACTACCACATAGGTAGAGGCCCCTCACGGGAGAACTGTTTAATGAAGGTGAAATGTATGGTTCATTATAATAGACATTACCTGGATGAGCCCCACTACCACATAGGTAGAGGCCCCTCACGGGAGACCGGTAGTTGCTGAGCCTGGAGATTGGACGGGACATGTACAGCTGATCCAACCCCATCGTTCCATGGAAGATATTCTAATTAAAAGAATAATCATACCGGTATATGTCATATCTATCCTATAAGGCCTAGGAACCAACTCTGTTTCTGTGAAGGAGGGGTGGCTGGGTTCATAACAGAATAAATAAATAGGATTTGTTGGCATTTCTACGGAAATGCAATAAACATGGGTGAGATCATTGCCAGATAAATGAGATATGTTACTGACAGTCATGAAACAGATCACTAAGTTTTGAAAAACAAAAGTTGCCATGTTTGGTATCTTAGAGAACTTCTTGATTCCATGAACAGGCATAACACTATTTCAGCCAGGTGTGTAAAACAGGACCTTGAATGTAATTGAAGAAAATTATATAATATTTTTCTATTTATATATTTTAAGTTACAAAGGATGGTACAGTGTACTAAACAGTTCTATAATATTCTTGTAAAGGACTAAGTATGGTTTGGGCCTGTTTTGGCCCCCAAATGCATCAAAATTCAAAATCTTTGAATGAACTTTGAAATGACTGTTTCTTTAATTTCGAATACTTCCCAAATACTATTATGAAAATATTTATTTATATTTCTAATTATTGTTGCCATGGTAACAAGTTCAAATTTGCATAAATTAGAAACAAATGAATATTCAGTGAATATTGTGATATTTTGCATAGTTTTTCTCCTAGAAACTAAAGAGCGCATGCTTGAACAAACTTAATATCAAAGGATAATGTGTAGGCACCTGTAATACATCTTAAGGAGAAATATAAAGTTTGTTCAAGAGTGTGCTCTATGGTAGCTAAGAGAAAAACTAGGTGAAAACCTGTCAAAATTGACTGAATAATCAAATTTCAATAATTTATGCAAATATGACCTGGTTACCATGGCAGCTAAAATTGAAAACACAAATAAATGTTTACATAATAGTCCTGGGGAAGTATACAAAATTGAAGAAACAGTCATTTGAAAGTTCTATTGCAGATTTTTAATTTTGATGGATTTGGGGGCCAAAAAAGGCCCAAACCATACAGAGTCCTTTAGTCTTTGTAAAAAAAACTCAGCATCCATGTAAAAGCTTGAATTCATTACAATAATGATTATGATTTTGCATGAAAAGAAATGTGTTACTATTTTTAAGCCAATTTAATTTATCGATGCCCAGAGATTTAGAGCTATATAGTATTAGTTACTTACGCCTCCAGTGAGGTTGAATGTTTTCTCCAGGTCGGGGGGCGTGAGGATGTCACGGCCCACCACACTGGCCTTGAAGCCAGGGGCATACTTCTCTATGTCATCAAACACTTCAAAACACACAAAGAATTACAAATATCAGATTTACACCCGAAATCAAAGCTTGACTTCAAAATTCTCTACAAAATCCAGATGACATGTAATTGTGAATTGTATGGTTCCTTCCCAAGAGGGCGTGTGGGGTCGGGTCATGAGAGGGGACAAATTTGCTTAAATTTTGACAATTTTCATATTCATAACCAGAAATCCTAGAATCCAATATTAAATATGGATGGCAAGCCTCCGAGGTGATTTTTAATTATCAAATTTTCATTTTATCAACCCTAGGCCATCCTTCTGCGCTTCAGAGGAGTGTGAGTTTAGTAGGATTTATATTGAACAGGGTAGATCTATATTCTATTTATTTCGGTAACATTTTTGTTGCCTGAAATTTAAGAAAGCAAATCCCCTGGATTGAGTCTTTATCTCATTGTTTTGGTTTTAGTGTCAAAAAATATCGAAATTATATTCTTCATTATAGACACCTTGTCAAGTCATCCCTGGAAATTTGTAATTCAATGAAAGCAGGATTTGAAAAAACAATTACCTCCTGTATGACAAATAGAATATATTGTAAACTGTACAATAATGACTGCTGTTCAGTTGTCTTAGTATCAGTATGTACTGCATAGCCATGGTCAATTTGGGAAATATTTATGAGTTCTATTCTAATTTGATTCTTGATTTCTCTTAAACCAATCATCCAGCATCCTCGATATCCAGGGGTTACGCTCACTTTCGATCTCTGCACCCCTGGACTATGTCGTAGCAAAATTGAACGCTTAATGTGCAGCACCTTGTGGATGAGATGAGAAGAATAGTTTGATCCTTTGATCAACATAAAACCAAATCTCGCAGTCACACAACGATACAACTTGCTGGCTTTGAAGTGAGGTGTCGCTTCTCTATAAACTTAAAAGGACAGGTATCAGCCTATAGCGATTAGTCAGATTAGTCAATCTGAGACCAATTTAATCAAGCAGCTAGCCACGGGAATTCAATTTTGCTATGACATATTCCAGGGGTGAAGAGAGTGAAATTGAGGGTAACCCCTGGATATCGAGGATGTGAGCGTAACCCCAGAATATTGAGGATGTGAGCGTAACCCCTGGATATCGAGGATGTGAGTGTAACCCCTGGATGTCCAGGATGTGAGCGTAACCCCTGGATATCGAGGATGTGAGTGTAACCCCTGGATATCCAGGATGTGAGCATAACCCCTGGATATCCAGGATGTGAGCGTAACCCCTGGATATCCAGGATGTGAGCGTAACCCCTGGATATCCAGGATGATCAGTCAGTTGAGTGCAGTATTAATTTCTGCTTCCAAAAGCTGGGGAACAGACAGAAGCTGACCTGTGTCTGCATATTTGTTCCTGCTCTGGTCGTCCCACTCCTGGCCTCCTGCCAAGTGGTACGGGGTGTACTGGGTAAACAGCAGACAGACATGGCAGCCAGGGGGTGCCACAGTAGGGTCCAGACTTGTGGGGAGCACCATCTCAATCATGGGCCTGTCACAGAATAGAGCTTTGTAGTTTTTACTTAATACAATAACTCAGACTACTCCTTGATAAGGTTAACACTAGCACAAAGTTAAAATATATTTTAATAATTGACTTTATCATAAAATATTTGTTAAAACCAATACATCTTCAAACGCATTTTACAAAATTGTATACAACAGAGGTGTACGACATTTGATTATTAATTAAATATTTGTATTAAAATGAAATGAACTTGGATATTGCACCTTGACCATACAAGTTTGAGTTTAAAATGTGTTTTACTTGACATCTTAATGCCAATGCAACTTTTATAGGTATTAAAACAAGACAAAATGAACAAAATTATACATGTGTGCTTTTTTCTTACAAAATGAATGTATATTTTTATAAAAATATTTTGAAGTTCACCTTCCGATAATGTTAAAGCCAGATTAGATCTACTCACTTGCTAGAAAACTTGCCCTCCTGAGCCTCCAGGAAGCCGTCGTGAATAAGGTCCGAATGTTCACAGTTAAGATGAATGGTTGCTCGATGGTGCGGCATGACTTCATTTTTTCTCGTATTGGGGTCGGCCACAAAGTTCGGCAATTCTTTTAACGCAACTGAATTAAAATAATATTTAGAAAATCAATTTTTGTACAACTTCTTGATGCAAGTGTTACAAGTATCATTTTAATTAATTCAGTAGTTAGGGGGATTTAGTGTAAACAATGTTTTTTAAACAAATGGAAATAATTCCTTGATAGGGGAGGTAACACCAAATGGTGCAGTACTTTAATCCTTTCAGCATCTAAAAGTATCAGCTCTCCATGCCCATGGTGTTTTTGGAGATAATACACACAGCATGATACATCCAACCATCTCTATTTCGTTTTGTGTTAAGGGAGGGACAAAACATCAACCTCATGAAGATGCATTAAGAATCTGTTAAATGTTAAAGTCAAATCACAGACCTGTGTGGTCGTCATCATGTGAAATGAGGGCTTTTCCAATGAAGATCCTTATTTATAATACTGTATAAGTTTACGATATGTGTGTTATTGAAAACTTTTAATTATATAACCTGGTAGCTAAACCATACACGGTTTTAAAAACAAGGAGAGGAAACGCACCATTGATCTTGGTCACGGGGGAGGTGTAGTCAAAGTTCCGGAGCTCTTTCATCATATCCTCCGGGAGGTTACCCTGTACGGAAAAATTATCTGGTTAACATCATGTATCGCTATGTTAACAAAGCTTTGTAAGACTCCTAGTCAGCTTTAATTCCTTATTGTGTTTATCTTGTAATAAGCCCAGGGGGACACCACAACTCTGACTCAAAGATGGGGGTTGTTCTTATTATAGGACAATGAAAAAGCATTCAGTGACAGTTATACAGAACTGTAATAGATATGGACGGGCTTATTACCAGGCATGGGCTTATTACCAGACATGGGCTTATTACCAGACATGGACTTATTACCAGGCATGGGCTTATTACCAGACATGGACTTATTACAAGACATGGGCTTATTACCAGGTATGGGCTTATTACCAGGCATAAGCTTATTACCAGGCATGGGCTTATTACCAGGCATGGGCTTATTACCAGGCATGGACTTATTACCAGGCATGGGTTATAACCAGGCATGGGCTTATTACCAGGCATGGGCTTATTGCTTCATAGATATAGAAAAACTATTTCACAAACCACCTTGTAAGTTTGTGTGGACTGCTATCATATTTTAATTGACGTCAACCTCAAGTCTTTTGGGGAGAGATTTTTTAATGTTTTTAGGACGAAATAACTAAAAAAATATGCCAGATAAATGAAAAGAAATTCAATGTTAATGTGCATAGAGACAGAAATTCTTCAAAATATTTAGACAGAGTGAGAAATTGATCGAAAAAATGAAACATGAGAAAACCGTTAGGTGGGGGACATGATATTTACGATTGGAGACTCAGTGTATTGTCAATATTGTATATGGGCTTTAATTCAGCCATTTTTCTGTAGATTGGTACAACTGACCCCTCACCTCTGGCAATAGATCTAAGAAGGTCACTTTTGGTGTAGCATTTGATAGAACAGCCTTGGCTTCAATGGCTGTTCCATCTTGTAAGACAACTCCCTTTACAGAGTTATTGTTGGTCACAATTTCCTGAACAGGCTGAAAGAACAATACATAATACGCCATTAACATCCATACCAGATGTTTACAATTCTGTTTATCTCCCTCGATCTACTGATTATTAAAAACTTATTCATAATGTTTCTGTATTCACAGCCTCGTAGCTATTATTAAAACTATAGTACGGGTGACATATACTTTCTATAAGTGCACCTCATTATTTGCATCAATTCACAATTTTGCATATTTCCACACTTACGTAAATATTGCATATTTTTCAATGCGTAACAGTAGTGGCGAGATGTGAAATTAAGCACTCAGTGCATAAAAGGTAGGTAACGGTGAATTTTTAAATATTCTTGTCTTTATATTGTATTACGTACGTAGCATGGAAGAGATCACGGGTGACAGATCAATACAGCTCAGCTAAAGGAGTATCAATCTAGGTTTTCAGGATTATGGTTCGAATCTTGGTCTTTGTTTAACAAAAAGAGCGATGACCTTGGCTCTTGAACTTTGACCTCCCCATCTGTTGTGGAATTACTTACATATTTTTGAGGATTAAAAAATCTACAATTTCAAGTTAAACTTTCCAGCATCATTCTAATGATCATGTCACTAGGCCAAACAAGTCGGTTTTAAATAGAAAAATTAACATTATGGGCAAAAGGAATTGAAATTTACAATAAAAATCGACATTAGTATAATTTCCATCGGTTCAAACATGATTGAGAACTTTATCAATTATAAATAAAAAAATCTCAGTAAATTTTATCAAGAACCTTTTTTCAATTTACTCAATAAGAGATTGACCTAACTAGAGACTTAAACAATAAGTGGTCATTGTCCATCATGTGTATATAAATATAAAATTTATTTACTTCACAACAAATTATGAAACAAATCATTACAATTTATATTTATCACTCTTGTTGGCCCGGTCGTTAGCGCACTGGGGGTGTTGATGTGGGAGGAAACTTGTATGGCCGGTTGGTGAACCCATACCTTTTCAGATCGATCATGGAATCAAACCCTGGCCACCTCGGTGAAAGGCAAGTGGGCTATCCACTGCACAACCTATATGACCTAGACCTGTCCATCGTGTTTACAGTTTATAAAATGTTTAACGTCAACAGCGCATAGTTTACATACCGAGTCTGTGAAGATGCTGGCCCCTCTGTCCACGGCACAGTTAGCGATGGCCTGGGACACTGCCCCCATGCCCCCTTTCACAATGCCCCATGCCCCCTTTACCCCCTCCAGTTCCCCCATCACATGGTGGAGCAGAACATACCTGTAATAACGAACAATATGGGTGAAATTTGATGAACAAGAAAGCACAATTGTGTGAGGAGACACTTTTGTGTAAATAATACGGTGACAATATGGCATTTTATATTCTTCATGTACATATCTGAAATACACGCCATAAGATGACAATTCTTTTCTATATTACCACCTGTCTATATAGGTCATTTCTATGATGATAAGGTAACTGTCTACCACGGAAAACTGTATATTTATCGCTACTAGATTTCTTATACCCTGTCTATATCAGCCACCTTCAAAATCACAAACCTTTCTTTTACAACCCCCCCCCCCCTTTATATTGTATACCTGTCTATATCAGCCACCTCCAAAATCACAAACCTTTCTATAACAACCTCCCTATATAATGTATACCTGTCTATATCAGCCACCTCCAAAACCACAAACCTTTCTATAACAACCTCTCTATATATCTTTAACCTGTCAATATATGCCACCTCCAAAACCACAAACCTTTCTATAACAACCTCCCTATATATCTTATACCTGTCTATATATGCCACCTCCAAAATCACAAACCTTTCTATAACAACCACTCTATATATCTTATACCTGTCTATATATGCCACCTCCAAAATCACAAACCTTTCTATAACAACCTCTCTATATATCTTATACCTGTCTATATAAGCCACCTCCAAAACCACAAACCTTTCCATATCAAGCAACCTGTATAACTCGTATATAAATATCACCACTACATATCTCATACCTTTCTATAACAGCCTTCCTCTAAGACCCCTCTCTATATATAATACCTGTCTATAGCAACCAGTTCTGAAACTAACCTTTCCCTAACAACCACTATATATACCTGTCTATTATAACCACTTGGCAATAGCATACCTTTCTATATAGACCACCCTTTATATAATACTTGTCTATAACGACCACTTATTAAACAAACCTTTCTATGTAGACCACCCTACATCTAAACCTGTCAATAACGACCATTTGTAAATCACATACCTTTCTATAATATAGACCACCCTATATCTAATTCCTGTCAATAACAACCACATGTAAATCACATAACTTTCTATATAGACCACCCTACATCTAATAGCTGTCTATAAAGACCATTTGTAAATCACATACCTTTCTATAATATAGACCACCCTATATCTAATACCTGTCTATAGAGACCATTTGTAAATCACATACCTTTCTATAATATAGACCACCCTATATCTAATTCCTGTCTGTATAACGACCACTTAAACAAACCTTTCTTTATAGACCACCCTACATCTAATACCTGTCTAGAAAAAACACTTCTTAAACAAACCTTTCTTTATAGACCACCCTACATCTAATACCTGTCTATAAAAAATACTTCTTAAACAAACCTTTCTATATAGGCCATCCTACATCTAATACCTGTCTATAAAAAACATGTCTTAAACAAACCTTTCTATATAGACCACCCTACATCTAGTACCTGTCTATAAAAAACACGTCTAAAACAAACCTTTCTATATAGGCCACCCTACATCTAATACCTGTCTATCAAAAACACGTCTAAAACAAACCTTTCTATATAGGCCACCCTACATCTAATACCTGTCTATAAAATACATGTCAAACAACCCTTTCTATATAGACCTCCCTACATCTAATACCTGTCTAGAAAAAACACTTCTTAAACAAACCTTTCTTTATAGACCACCCTACATCTAATTCCTGTCTATAAAAAACACGTCAAACAACCCTTTCTATATAGACCATCCTACATCTCATACCCGTCTATAAAAAACACGTCTTAAACAAACCTTACTATATAGACCACCCTGCATATAATCCCTGTCTATAAAAAACATGTCTTAAACAAACCTTTCTAAATAGACCACCCTACATCTAATCCCTGTCTATAAAAAACACGTCAAACAAACCTTTCTATATAGGCCACCCTACATCTAATACCTGTCTAGAAAAAACACTTCTTAAACAAACCTTTCTTTATAGACCACCCTACATCTAATTCCTGTCTATAAAAAACACGTCTTAAACAAACCTTTCTATATAGACCACCCTGCATATAATACCTGTCTATAAAAAACACGTCTAAAACAAACCTTTCTATATAGACCATCCTACATCTAATACCTGTCTATAAAAAACACGTCTAAAACAAACCTTTCTATATAGACCATCCTACATCTAATACCTGTCTATAAAAAACACGTCTTAAACAAACCTTTCTATATAGACCATCCTACATAGGCAGGAGTATACATATACTTCCCCACTGCCCAGTGTTTTTGGACTGATCACAGCCCCGATGACAGGAGTATACATATACTTACCCACTGCCCGGTGTTTTTGGACTGATCATAGCCCCGATGACAGAAGTATACATATACTTACCCACTGCCCAGTGTTTTTGGACTGATCATAGCCCCGATGACAGGAGTATACATATACTTACCCACTGTCTGGTGGTTTTGGACTGATCATAGCCCCGATGACAGGAGTATACATGTACTTACCCACTGCCCAGTGCTTTTGGACTGATCATAGCCCCGATGACAGGAGTATACATGTACTTAGCCACTACCCGGTGTTTTTGGACTGATCATAGCCCCGATGACAGCAGTAAACATATACTTACCCACTGCCCGGTGTTTTTGGACTGATCATAGCCCTGATGACAGGAGTATACATATATTTACCCACTGCCCAGTGTTTTTGGACTGATCATAGCCCCGATGACAGGAGTATACATGTACTTACCCACTGCCCGGGGTTTTTGGACTGATCATAGCCCCGATGACAGGAGTATACCTGTACTTACCCACTGCCCGGTGTTTTTGGACTGATCATAGCCCTGATGACAGGAGTATACATATACCTACCCACTGCCCGGGTTTTTTTTGACTGATCATAGCTCCGATGACAGGAGTATACATGTACTTAGCCACTGCCCGGTGTTTTTGGACTGATCATAGCCCCGATGACAGGAGTATACCTGTACTTACCCACTGCCCGGTGTTTTTGGACTGATCATAGCCCCGATGACGGAGTCTGTGGCCAGCGTAGCCTTCAAAGGCTCGGACTCAAACCACTTGTCCAGAATCTGTGACAAACACATACAGCATTCTTACATGTAATTAAGAAAACATAGATACCTCAGGGAAATGATAAATGGCATAAGCAGAAGTTGAAATTTGTGAATTTTTTTTATAATAGTATCCACTATTCTTAGCATCCCTTCCCTTTTTTAATACTTATTGCATGATATAACCCCATTTCCTAATGAACACCCTCCATTCTGGCCCTCCCCTGTGTTAGCACCCTCTATCAGATGTGACTTCAGTCTCACAATCTGACAAAAGTGTTTTCAAAAAGAAAAGAGAACAACTTTGGAAATCTTCCCTGTGAACGTGTCCCACAGTTCTGTCATCTTTAGAGCAATAGACACAACTTGTGACGTCATTAAAATGCGTCATCGGTACTTGTGACGTCATCAAAATGCGTCATCGGTACTTGTGACGTCATCAAAAGTGAATGACGATATTCATACCCCACATGTGTTTTTTGTTTACAAACATGGCAGACTACTGTCGGTGGAGCTGTGACTGAAATAATAGGACGGGAGAAAAATAATCATCCCCTACCTTGAGGGTGTACCAGAGAAATCTCCAACCCTTGGGGTGATTTTTTTGGTTATCTAACCAAAAAACATCACCTCTCTGGTTGGAGATTTTTCTGTCACACCCTCAAGGTAGGGGAAGGTTCTATTAATCTTAATAAGCCCCCCAACCCTCTTCAGCCAAATTTCCCCTGCCCTTGGGGATAATTAAAATAAAAACGGTACAGTAAATTATTGCTTGGTGAGTTTTGTTCGTGTTTTATGTCCTATTAACAGCCATGGTCATTTAGGGACGTGCCCGGTTTTATTGGTGGAGGAAAGCCTGAGTACCCGGAGAAACATTATGACCATTACCTGGCAAATGCTCCACGTATGCCTGGAACATGAGACCCAGTGGTAAGTTATTGAACCTTTGGTTTTACCATACTGGTAATTCTTGTAACAAAGTTGTGAAAAAAATGTAATTTTGAAAGTTTTTTGATAAATCAATGTTAATGAAAATACTGATTAATTCATTATACAGAAGAAATTGAATTACAAGTCTCAACAATGAAAGACCAGCTTGTTTGATCTAATTTTAATAATCTTTAATATTTCAGATTTTCGTAACAAACAAACACTGCAGCAGGAGGTCTACGAACTACTACACCTCTCCAACTACTTTACACCGATCTCACCTTGGTAGTAGGAGCAGTCATCAACTCATAGAAGGCATCGGTTTCCTTGAAACTTCCCAAGGATTTAACTGTAATAAATAGATACATGTATCATAATTTCTATGCATGTTCTTATATGACATTTTTTTATAACAAGAAAACAATCTTTAAGAACAGAAAAAACATTTCGGAGTACAACCAGTCACGAGTACTTTTAACTGGCTATCTTTCTGAATTTTTGTCTATTTATTCCAACTTTACAATGAAGCCAAGGTTCAAGCACCTTGGCGGAAGTACGGATGTGTCAAATAATTTCCTGCACATGGATGAAATAAATTTAGTGTTAAAACAAATATCAATTGCAGAATTTAATTTCCAAAGTTCCTTGTCTATAAACATCACCTGTAGCTCAAATGTTTATCACATATTGTCATACAAGCAAAATATATCAACTTTCCCATGCATAACATCAATGAAAACTTTTAACTTTTCACACATACAACATATGTGTACAATACATGCATTAACACACATACAACATATGTGTACAATACATGCATAAACACACATACAACATATGTGTACAATACATACATAAACACCCATACAACATATGTGTACAATACATACATAAACCCACATACAACATATGTGTACAATACATGCATAAACACACATACAACATATGTGTACAATAAATGCATAAACACACACATATATATATTTACATTTGCGCTGCAACCCACTATATGAACATTACCAGCAGAAATGCATTTAATTTCAGTATGAAAGCAAAAACTCTCGCAACGTAACACACAGTTTACTTTTGACGTCATATATTAACCTGTTCACTGAGTCTTGTCGCTTTGCTTCGAAATAACTTGGAGACCCTCAAATGACTACAGTTAATTATTGGCGCCAATTTAATTTAAATAGGGTTGTTCTGCCAATGGTATTTAAAGGACGACGCATATGCAAAATGCAGTAAATTAATTAAATATTTAAGAAAGAACAAAAAAATAAAATTAAGCAATTGATCTAAGGTAAAAATGTAAATATATGGATTGAATGGCGTTTTTTTAATTTTCATGCCGGTATGAACACAAATCAATTACATTCATATTAAGCATAGGACTTCAAGCAATATGAATGTAACCCATTTGCGTTAATACCGGCATGAAAATTACAAAATACGCCGTTCAATCCATATATATATATATATATATATTGGATAATAGATAAGTAAAATATATAGAATTCATAACTATTGCTAACAAAAAAAAATCACACCACGATTAGTTTAAAGGGTGACAATGCAAACGTTTTCACACATGAAAATGTCCACTTTTACTGTAACAAGAGGCCCAGAGGGCCAGTATCGCTCACCTGGATACCTAAGCAATCATGGCAAACTATTCTCCAAATGAGATCAAGGGATTATGCCAGACCCCAAGGCCAATCCTTGTAGCATAGCTATATTAGATTTTTCATGCCCAGCAATTTTATGTATGGTTATGGGGTGGGGATCTCAACTGTTTCCAAGCTTTGACTCAGAAACTAGGTCCCTAGAGTTGTGGCCAGACCCCAGGATCGATTCTAATATCGTGACTGCATTTGTCTCTTTTTGCCAAGCATTTGTATATATAGTTTTGGGGTGGGGATCTCAACCGTTTCAAAGTTATGACCCAGGGGCCAAGTCTGCAAGGGTGGGGCAGACCCTGGGAT